CATGTGTCCCTACACGGTTTGGGCTGCAGCTGTGCCTGGGGGTGGCAGGCAACTTAACAATGGTGAGACATGGACCATTAGTGCTGCCCCTGGCACCACACAAGCACGCATTTGGGCTCGAACCAATTGCCAATTTGATGGTGCTGGAAAGGGCAGCTGCCAGACTGGTGACTGCAATGGGCTCCTAGCATGCCAAGGCTATGGTTCACCCCCTAACACCCTAGCCGAATACGCAATCGGCCAATTTGCAAACCAAGATTTCATTGATATCTCTAACATTGATGGATTTAATGTTCCTATGGAATTCAGCTCGGCCTCTGCAGGTTGTACCCGTGTGATCAAATGCACAGCAGATATCGTTGGACAGTGCCCTAATGAATTGAAGGTCCCTGGAGGGTGCAATGGTCCATGTCCTGTGTTCAAAACTGACGAGTACTGTTGCAATTCAGGCAGCTGTGGTCCTACTCCTTTCTCAAAGTATTTCAAGGAGAGGTGCCCAGATGCTTATAGTTATCCTAAGGATGATCCTACAAGTTTGTTTACTTGCCCCACTGGGACTAACTATAAGGTCATATTCTGCCCATGAACCTAGTAGCTACTAGCTAGTCAGTGATAATATTAAGTGTCACAAACTAAGGTATTGCACCCCTTTATATATATATATATATATATATATATATATAAGTGATAATATTAAGTGTCACAAACTAAGGTATTGCACCCCTTTATATATATATATATATAGCGGTGTGGAATAAGAGAGCTAATTAAAGGCCACTGAGCACATAAGCACATGTAGTGATGTGCTCAATATATATGTTCTATCACATGAATTTCAATAAATGCTCTATTCATGGATGCTGAAAATCTTAAAATCCCGTTGCTTTTCGCCCATGATTCCATCTCTCATAAATATTTTTCTCATTTGTCCATTCACTGAACACAAAGAGAAAGTTCTCAGATCGAACAATACAGAACCCGGAAAATATTTGTTACAATCAATCTGGAAATTATATATATTTTTTTAGCGTAGCATGAAAATGCAAGCACAGAAACCCAAGTTTCCAAAGAAACAAATCTCAGTAAACGTAACAAGGTGAAGCATCTATAACTTCTCATTTGATTGCCAACTCCACATTGCACCACCCCTACTCTCCCGTGATCATCACTGAAATTTGAAACAGCTTCACAATTACCACCGATTTGCAGTATTTACTATATTGATGACATGAAATTCGTACCACCGATTATTCCAATTTAATTAAGAGAGGACTTAACCCAAGACAGTTCATAAGATGCTATGAAAAAGGGTTTTATTTGATACCAAAAAAATTTCCCAGGCTTTGAGCTCCAACTTTGTGCTCGTTCTAGACAGGCTACCTGTATAGTAGTGTTATTAAGTCTAAATTTGTCCTTATTTCAGCTATAATCCTGTTAGGGCCATTCACTTGGCCCGGCATGGCTTCATCAAAAGGCCATGATTTGATTATCAAAGGGGTTTAGTTAACTTGGAAGCACAAATGCAGGAAGACCAGGATTTGCAGAAGAGACCGGGAGTCTATACAAAAGATTTTCTGCAACTGCATTAGTTCTTGGTCCAGCAATCCATATCCATATGGTTTCAAAGGTAAATAGTAGAAAAATAAATGTGTGCCGCAGCCTGTTGGGGCTAGCAGTACGCCAGGCCCAGGCAATACCTGGGTCTGATCCCATCCAGATCAAGTCATTATCTAGGCCTGACAGGTGCTGTCAAGCACAATAACTTAGCTTGGTGAATGTTAAGCTAATAGAGAAGGTCTAACCTTGTTTCCTGAAAATGTTAAACCCAAATATTTTTATGATCAAAACCCAAATATGGCTAGATTTGTTACATCTACGTATTCAAACATAATACCTCATAATAATATCATTAATTCTATAAATTTTTACATAAAAATCTTAAATAATTTAATTTTTAATAAATAAATTTTAATTAAACAAGTCTATATTTCACCAATACCATTAGTGTATTAAAATCTTTCATAATCTTTCATATTTTTATCTTTTAGCTAAATAAAATAGATAAAATATAGTTTACAATATAACTTATAACATTATAATGATAAATTACATTTAGTCGTTCATTTTCATAATATGATAAGATATATAAGTTATAAATATATTATGAGACTTTCAGAATAAAAATTTATAATTTTTATTTTTTATTATATATATATATATATAGAGTATTGTTTTATATAATATTATTGTATTTTTTTTATTTAAAAAGATAATTATTTAAATATGAGAAATTCTCTATTTTCATAAAAAAAAAATTACAGGTAGTAATTTATCAACTATTAAATATAAATTTTCTCGACAAAAGAAATTTGCTTGAACTAATTAATTAAAAACCTTGTTGGTAGGCTACTTGTTTGAGACTCCATCAGGCTCCATAAATGAATACTGCACACAATATGCACTAGGAACATAGAAATACGAGCCAATACAAAGTGCTCGTAAAGGTACTTAAACCCAAATGAGCCCACATCAATTCCCTTCCAATTCTCTTCCTAGGCCTCTTATTCGACTTAGCTCAAGCAGCCACCTTTGATGTTGTAAACCAATGCACCTACCCTATCTGGGCTGCAGCTTCACCCGGTGGCGGCCGACATGGAACCTTGATGTCGCACCTGGCACCACCATGGCTCGCATTTGGAGCCGAACTAGTTGCAACTTTGATGCTAATGGCCAGGGCCAATGTGAGACTGGAGATTTGAATAGAACGCTAGGATGCCAAGGCTTCGGCTCTCCACCAAATACCTGGCCGGATTTGCACCAGCCCAACAACTTAGACTTTCTTGATATCTCACTTGTTGATGGGTTCCACATCCCAATGGACTTCAGGCCAACCTCCGGTGCCTGCCGAGGAATCCGGTGTGCCGCCAATATCAACGGTGTGTGCCCTAATGAGTTGCGGGCTACGGGAGGGTGCAACAACCCATGTACGGCTTATAAGACCATTGAATATTGCTGCACCAATGGGCCTGGTAGTTGTGGCCCAACTAATTTCTCCAGGTTCTTTCAAATAAAGGTGTCCGGATGCATATAGCTATCCACAAGATGACCAAACCAGCGCTTTCACTTGCCCTGGTGGCACCACCTACAGGATTACATTTTGTCCATGAAGTAGGGGGAAGATATAAAGTACAGATATAATACGAGCTTCTGCTATATACCAGTCCAAATAATCTGCGCATCTAGTACGGTTGTGCCCATGTTAAGTTTCATCGATGAATAAGCCAATATAGAACTCATTGCATAATTTACTGTTCACATCATGCTCTTGTTCTTGGTTGTAATCATGCTATTATTACTACTTTTTTGCTTTTTTCCTATTATAATTAGTGTATATTTTGTTATTGTACTATATCGTGTTTTTTATTTAATTTTTTAAAATAATATTTTTAAAAAATTTAACATTTTGATTTTTAAGATAGATACATTACAATTATTGACAACTATTAAAAAAATTAATTTAATATTTTTTTAAAATAAATACATTTTAAAAAAGTATTTAAAAACAAAAATTATGGCAATGATCTTCCGGTCTAAATAACAATACACTTTAATTTGATAAAATTTGTAATTGTTTATAGCGTGGTTGTGGTAATTTTTTAATATGTTTTTTATTAAAAAAATATATTAAAATAATATTTTTTTATTTTTTAAAAAATAATTTTAATATCAATGTATTAAAATGATCTAAAAAATCTAAAAATATTAATTTAAAATAAAAAAAATAAAAAATTTAAACTTTTTAAAAAATATTTTTAAAATATAAAAATACACGGAATATAAAACTCATGCACCGGCAGAGAAAAGACTGAATCTAAATAAGCATTAGACAAATCCAATTTTACCTGATGTAGGAAAAGAAAGGCAGGATATATCAATGCCGACGGTTTTAATCGATAACATCCTCAAACTCAATTAAGGGAGGTATTGTTGCAAGAACTGAGACCCTTAATAAATTTTATCATGCCACTTAGCACAAAGTAGGGAAATAATGTAAAGGGACAAAGATGGAGGAGAGATGAAACTAAAAGTGTGTTATGGAGTGCGGTCAAACTGTTCTTTAAAAAGTTTTAGTTTTTTTATTTTCAATTAAGTTTTCAATACTTTTAAATCATTTTAATATGATAATATTAAAAATAAATTTAAAAAATAAAAAATATTTTTTTAATATATTTCTAAAAAACATTAAAAAAAAAATTTCCATGTTCTCAAGTATGCCATGAGAACAAATTAAATTAAAATTAATGATTATTAATTAAAATAAATGATATTATTTGCGGGGGAAGTGCAGAACCCCCAACCTTCCTTGTCACCATCTGGGGTGGGGGTAGGGTGGGGAGGTTCTTTATTAATGTAGTTCACCGAGTCACAATTGTGGTTGTAAATAGTCAAGTTGAAAATTTCAAAAGCCAGAATTGAGTGCGTGGCTATTTTTGATTTGCAGTCAAATCATTCCACTTGCTCGTCTTCTTTTTTTCTTTTTTAAATGATAGATGTCGATTCCTCAATTAATTTTTTAAAGTTATTTACTTAATAATTATATAAATTTTAATGATTCTAAATTTATAATATTTAAATTAATAATATTTAAAAAATAAATCTAGAACTTAATTAATTAAATTATAACCAATTAAACTATATCTCTTAAAATTACTTATTTTTTTCTAATATTATAGGTGGTCAGAGTTTTAATAAGGTTTGTTTTTTAAAATATTTTTATTTAAAAATATATTAAAATAATATTTTTTTTTATTTTTTAAAAATTATTTTGATATTAGTATATTAAACTAATTTAAAAACATAAAAAATAAATTTTAAATAAAAAAATAAATATATTTTTACAACACAGCATGCAAACGGAAATACTACAAACACAGTTTTAGCATTTAGCATATGCCATTTATATCCATCTTGTAGGATCATGATTACCACCCAGCCTTTCAATTTCATGGGTCCGTGAGATTTGAAGCTGGATGAGGATCATGAATGTGTATAAGAAATAATTTCAACAAAAAGAAAATTTCAAAATCGGAGAGGAGAACATTATATCATAGTAATAATTAAAAAAGAAAAAATTGAACTCGTTTCCCATGATCAGGCGTTCAAAAAGAAAAGAGGGAGCAGTTTAAGAAGGGAGAAACTAGTATTATTATCTGAATAACTCAAAATCTGAATATCTTGAATTTTGATAGTGGAAAATACGCAGTCAAAGGGAGCAGTTCACAAGTGGAAATTTATATTTTATTTATATATTCCTTTGGCCACTTGATTTTATAAGAAGATAAGAACTACCGTGTAGGACACACTGAGAGAAGTCTACGTGATGAAACTCAGCACGTTCAAAAAGAGTAAAAGCAGCACACATTCTATTGGTGCTATGCATTTGGGTTAAAAGGTGCAATTTATCGGAAATCTCCATATGGAACATGATTGGTTCTATAATGCACAAACCACTCTTTATAAGATAAGATTTCAACTTCATCTACATTAATGATTTCCTAGTGTATATAGATACGTGATGGAATATTATTATAGCCCGTCTAGTTCTTATAAAGCTAAAAAAAAAAGTATGGCATGGTTTAGACTTTTACAAAAGAAGGACACAAAATTCCTTTTGAAAGATATTTTTCGAGGCAGGTCATCATCAGTAAAAAATTAAAGGAGTAATTGGATAATAGTGTGTTATTATGGTTAACCTCTAATAAAAAAATAAAGATGTTTTTTTATAAAGTATATGTTTCAGATAATATTGCTTTTCCTTTTAATTCATCCAAAGAGAATGAGTTCTGAATTCTTGCTGATAATTGTCAATATTATCTATTTTAGTTGATTGAATTATATTCTCTAAATGAAAATATATATGGTATGAGAAATAATTTGTTATTTTCCTTTTATTTTGTATATTATAGTTGTCATATTGATATTTATCTATGTTATTTTTAAATGAATCCTACTTTTTAAGAATGTTAAAGATAAAAAAAAAAAAAAAAAAGCTTCAAGACACTCACCGTTCTCTAAATAGGAGAAGAAGAAAGAATCTCAAAAGGAAAAAGCTTAGGAGGAGGAAGAGATTGTATAAGAATCTAAAATAGAGGTAATAGATGGAACTTAAAAGGAGAGTGGTGAAAAGAACACTAATATTGACATTAAAATAGTTGGGAATATATATATACTTTACACATGAGGAGTAAGAAAAAACATAGTTTCCAACCTATATATCCTAGCTCTCTCATGAAATATTCATCTAAGTGAGAGATGAACTTGTTGAGAGCAGCAACTCTTTCGATAAGTCTTTATACATCATTCATTGTCTAAGTAGGAGTTATATTTAGTATTGTCTAAATTTTCTAAGAATTAAGCTCGGTACCCCTATACTTCTAACAAAGAATTCTAAAAACTTCTTCTTTATTTTATGACAGATATATTTGGAAGGGTTCAACTTCATCTATGGTATTGTAAAACAAAGCAGATCTCTTGTACATCCTAGAAATATTGTTCAAAAGTCATACTTTTAACCAATAGATCATTAACATAGGCTTTCATGCTCTTGCTTATTTAATTATTGAAAACTTTATTTATCATCCGTTGATATGTAACTTTAGCATTCTTAAGACCAAGTGGCTTGACTATGTAGCAAGATGTTCCTTAGTCATTGATGAATGATGTCTTCTCCTCGTCACGAGGATACACGTCATGAATATGATGATGTCCCTAATTTACATCCAATAAACTCAAGCACTCAAAACCAACAGTAGAGTCAATCAGACGATTTATCTTTGGCAAAGGAAATAGAGAGTGAGCAGGTTCCCAACCGAGTTTATCCCATCTTTGTCTCTTTATTTTTAATCTTTATAAATTACCTTTTTTTTCTTTGTTTATTCTATTATAATTAATATTCTCTATTCAATTTTCATATCAACCGATATTAAATCGTTTTTAAAATGATTTTAAAGATAAAACTGCATGTCAATTTACTATATTCAAATAATTTTATTTTAATATTAGTTTTATAATTTAAATTCAAGAAATCAGAGAAATAATCGTATTCTTTTAAATATGTTATTACATTTTTTTTATCAATAAAATATATAGCCAGGAAGGCTGGCACGCAGCCGCCTCTATTTCAAAATTTAATACTGTGCACTAGCCATAACGTATAGGAATCCAAAAGCCGCCCCTCCCCTATATAAAGACCATAAGTGACACCATGAATCAAGCACAGATTCACATAAGCTAGTATCAAGTAACCAACTATGAGCTACTTAACCAAATTTCTCACCTCCTCCCTCCTCTTTAGCCTTCTTTTCATCTCTACTAATGCAGCCACCTTTGAAATCCGAAATAGTTGTCCTTACACTGTGTGGGCCGCAGCCTCACCTGGTGGTGGACGCCGTCTAGAACGTGGCCAAACTTGGAATCTTAATGTGCCTGCTGGCACGTCCATGGCTCGTATTTGGGGCAGGACAAATTGTAACTTTGATGGCGGTGGTCAGGGTCGTTGCCAAACTGGGGACTGCACCGGTGGCCTAGAGTGCAAGGGCTGGGGTGTCCCTCCCAACACTCTAGCTGAATATGCATTAAATCAGTTTGGTAACTTGGATTTTTATGATATATCGCTTGTTGATGGATTTAATATCCCTATAGAATTTAGTCCAACATCAGGCGGTGGCTCAGGGAAGTGTCAAGCGCTTCTTTGCACAGCAGATATTAATGGGCAATGTCCTAAGGAATTGAGGGCTCCTGGTGGGTGTAATAACCCATGTTCCGTGTTCAAAACTAACGAATATTGTTGCACTAATGGGCAGGGGAGCTGTGGCCCTACCCATTTTTCAAGGTTTTTTAAGGATAGGTGCCCTACTTCTTACAGCTATCCCCAGGATGACCCTTCAAGCACATTTACATGCCCTGGCGGGACCAACTATAGGGTTATCTTTTGCCCTCGGGGGTCTCCTCATTTCCCCTTGGAGATGGTTGAAGAAAAGCGTGCAGAGTAAGAAAGAAGCTAATAACACAGTTGACGACTTGATGTATAATATTATGTGCTGCCACGGAAATCTGGTGAAATGAGGTCCGTGTATTATCATGTATTGCGGAGTGTTTTTTGTTTTCCTCCTAGAAGGACAAAACACACGAGTCTGTGTGTTTCGTTCCTGCCTGTTTCTGTAATAAAAATAATAATAGTGAAATAAAGAGATGTTTAGTAACACGGCCATGAGTCAACTTTAATTTGATGGCCGAGTTGCCGCATGTTTTTCAGTGATCGAAGTCGTTACTATTGACAAGTAAAACAAAATTTTCTTATTCCAGTATTAATTACTTATTTTTTCTCAATTTCCTCACATCATCATCTATTTTATTGTGATAATTATTTTAATGATGATGGTTTAAAATATTTTTTATTTAGAAATTATAAATATAATTTTTTTTTATTTTTTAAAAATTATTTTTAATATAAAATATTAAAATAATGATATAAAAACATCATTTTCTATTTTAAATAAATAAATTTAAAATTTTTAAAGACATGATTTACACTACATTACTAAATATAACCTAATTATTTAGGATCGGATGGTCTGATCTCTTTACTATTGAATGAATGGAATTGAATAAGTGGTAGATAATTGCCGGCATGATATTTTTTGTTCTGAAAATATTTTTTTAAAAAATAAATTTGTAAGATTTTTAATTGTTTGGTGTTGTTGTATTATTTTATGTGTAAATATAAAAAATAGTTTTTTAAAAATAAAAAAATTATTTTAATATATTTTTAAATAAAATTTTAAAGAATAAACCATGCGATCACGCTTCAAAAACAGTAGTCTTGCACAATTTTCTCATGTTGTCACATCAATTCAAGTTTGCTCCAACAAAATTACGAGGCAGATGCAATGGATGTGCGGTGAAGGAAGGGTGAAGGTAAATACCATTCCACGCAGAATTCCTCAATTTCAATCGCTAAAATATCTTCTTGAATATGCTATTGTATCAAAGGTATCATCAAATATCAGGACAGGTTTCTTTAATATTTATCAGTCTAAGGGTCCAAGCTAAAACATATATAAAGCACAGATTATCTTCACGACTTTCTGCATCTAGAAAAGCTGAAGAAATGTCGTAAAAGAATGGGTCCCTCCAAGAACAGTACCCCCAACTTAATTTAGAATAACGCACTAGATTATTCATTGATGCTGTGCCACGCTCTGGGGGTGATGTTAAATTTTTTTATGAACATAATTAGCTGCTGGTCTTTCACTATTGAAGGAAGGATTGACTCTGTGCTTGATTTTGCTTCTTCCTAGCTGTGACATTGTTAGACTTTTCCTACCATTTTGCTTGCTCAACAACCAGTAACAAATTAATTATCACTGAAAGTTTTAATATTTTTCAGGCTTGTTAATTTTAAAATTAATAAAATTAATTAAAGTTTGCGAAAACTAACCGAAATACTCATATTTATTATATATAAAAAGAAAAATATAATATATTTCAAGGAATGAAAAAATTAAAACATCCCCAAAAAATTCAACCCCTCAAACTTTTCCAAAGAGCACAAGCTTATTGAACCATTATAATATCTCATATTTATTACCAAATCTTTTATAAAAGACTTGGGAGAATTTATCCACCATACTTTTGCCTTGCCATCGAGATAATATGAAACTAGACTGAACTTGAAATATTTCATGTATTTTCTTGGCTAGCTCCAAGGATTATCTCTCCATGATATTGGTAAATCAACCATTAGCAGAGTTGGAATGTACCTCATCTTACTTTACTCCTGACCTATCCAACTATCACCATGATTCCGACTTCTAAATCTAGATACAATTTCTTCGTGAGATGTATTAATCACTGCATCCTTTTTTATGTTTGGAGTCGCCAAATACCTTTTGAGTTAGCACCTACTTCTATTCCTACAATTTGACTAGCCATTAAGGTTAGAAATTGAGTGGTCAAAGCTTCAATTTGCAGATTCATCTGATCAATCTTTCTATCTTTCTCTAACCATTGTTCTGTCTTTCACCACAAATTCTTGCCATTCTTAGTGGTCGTACTGTAGCTTTTTATCTAGCTTCCTGTAGGGTTCCTAACGGCCTTCAACTTGTTATTTTCTACCATTATTGTAAGATTTTGAGTGATTGCTGTTAGTTGATGGCCTTGAATTTGGATCTGATACCAATTGTGAAGGTGAAGCTTAATAAGTGCCCGGAGGAGAAGAGAGGAGAAGTTGGGAATGAATTCTTCTATTATTGCTTAAGAATCACAGAACCTCAACACTAGTTGAGGGAAAGATGAAAAAGAGACTGTGAACTTATAATTTGGTTGTAAATAATAATAATAATAATAATAAATTGTGTTAATTCGGTTGAAAGCACATTGAATCCGTGCATAAATTCAGATAACCTATAGACAAAAGCCCACTTCCAAGTGGCCGGAGATCAGCCCAATAAATATATCATATTTATAGTTTACTGGGCCACCCTTCCAGGGTCAGGTAGTAGTTGTAATTGTTACACTAGAGAGGGGCAGTTCAGGAATTCAGAGTAGCAATTGGGTATATATAAATGAAGTTTCTCTCTCTATCTTTTTAGCCGCACTCGTTTTGCAATTGGATTCGTTTTTCCAAGAGGCAGCAGAAGGTAGAGGGAGAGAGAAAAGCATCTCGAAACGCCGAGTTTAGCACTGCAAAACGCAAAGGTTCTCTCTCTACCTCCCTCTCCCCTGTATTGCAATCCAAACACGCGCTTACTTCTAAATTCCAAAACCATCATCGATTTCCTGTAAATCTTAAGATGAATCCATCCCAGTTGATTCAAAATAAAAGGAGTTAGGGTTTGCGTTTGGCTTTTTCTCCAATCGACTGTGTTTAATCAGATTCGAATATTAAGGAAAGTGCATAAAAGAGATTGTTATTACAAGACTAATTCATTGAAATTCTGATATCGAAGGAATTTTTTTAAAAAAATTTATGTTAGATGGCGCTGCAAGAACAATTAGATCGATTCAAGAAGCAGCAAGAGAAGTGTCAGTCTACGCTTACAAGTATTGCGAAATCAAGGCCGTCTAAATCCAGTCTGACTCAAAAAACGGTTGCCGTAGCTCCATCGCCATCTACCAGTGCGAGGACTCCTGCTCCTGCTGTCAAATTTTCTAATGATACGGAGCGGCTTCAGCATATTAATAGCATTCGAAAAGCCCCTGCCGGGGCTCAAATCAAGCGTGTCATAGACCTGCTTCTAGAGGTAATCTTGAATTCTTAATGTTGTTTTGATTTCCTTTCAGCGTCCTGCATGACGTTCGTGTGGTCTTATTGAACATTGTTTACATAGAAAAATTTAAGATAAGGATTAGTTGCATGTAAGTTATTGGGTCAATCAAGATAATGAATCATCTGCCTCATATTAAAAAAAAAGCTGGGGGTGTTTGGTATTTTCTAATTTTTGAGTATGTGATTGCCTATGATCATTACACAACGTGGAATGTATGCAAATATTAGTTGCGAATGAATTCTGTTAATGTCGACTGTGGTGCTTTTCTGGAAGAAATTGTTTAAAAAAATAGTGCAGAGTGTTGGAATAACCTTGCAAAACTTTAAAATAATGTTTTCTGGTATTTACTTTCACGGACCTGGATGATAGATGACTTAAATGAGACATGGGGGTTTAATTGGTCGTTTACTTCTACAATGTTTGGTTGTTGGGGGAGATATAGTTGATGCTCTTCACTGCTTAGTGGATTATGCCTGGGAGTGAAAGGTTAAGGCTCCTGGGCGGATGTTGGCTGCCTGAGAAAGAAAGCTAAGATAAAGAATAGGTGTTAAAAAGTTGCATTACTTGATGAGAGGGGGTGAATGTTTCAGGAGTCTTTTCCTTGTGAGTGTTTTATTTTCCTATTCATGTTGGTGCTTTTTTTGGACCATGTCCTAGGATTGTGCTGCTCTATTTTTTAGGCACTTTTAGAACACCATTTTATTCATATATGACATGCTGTATTTTGCATTTTCTCTTTCCAGCTCTCTTGTGAGATTTTAGATGTTATGAAAAGGCATGTGAAACCTTTTTTGATTGTTTGAGAAGTTCCCCAGCTTTAAGTTTTGGTTAATCTTTTGAAATTACTGAGATTTTAGATTTTAGAGGATCGTGTCTTCTTAGCTTATCCTGCACCAGGAGTTAGATTGTTCCACCCCCTTCATTTTGGCTCTTTTTCGTGCATTATTCTTCAGGAAAATAAAATTGCTCGCCATGCATCATGGTGGCATGAATTTTCTCACTTCTCTGCTTTCATTTTTCTCTCCCTTCTGATCTTGTTAAATCTCAAATCTCATGATAAGGTATTCTAGTCCTGTTTTGAGAGGAGTTGTGAAGCATCACCTTCCTTATGACTTCTCTATTTTTGCTTGCTTGCAGACAAGGCAAGCCTTTACTCCAGAACAAATAAATGACCACTGTTATGTTGATATGAATTCCAACAAAGCCGTGTTTGACAGTTTGAGGAACAATCCGAAAGTGCACTATGATGGGAAACGCTTCTCTTACAAGGTGACTCTCAGTATTATGCACCTGCAAACCCTGATAGATTGGCACACTTTTGGATCAGTAATTAAATCATTGTTACTGATTTAATAACCGTCTTCCTTTTACTCTCTAATGGAGGATGACATTCTGGGTTTTGATTGTCTATAGTCCAAGCATGATTTGAAGGACAAGAGTCAACTCCTTGTCTTGATACGGAAATTTCCAGAGGGCATTGCTGTCATTGACCTCAAGGATGCATACCCAAATGTGATGGATGACTTGCAGGTATCTCTATTTGCTGAACAATTTGTTTTTTATTTTGGTGGGTTTATGTGTATATTTACACGGTCCTTTTATTTACATGACCCTTATAGAGAAGGCACATATGCAATGCCTTTTCCATAACTTTTGAAGGTTGTCCGCATAAATGAAAACACAATGAAATCTGTAACCTGTACTGGAAATATTGGTGGGTTATATAGTATCGCCTTTTGTGGTCCTTGCTTGTTGGTGAGGCTAGTAGGGAACAATTGAGAGCTCTTTTCCTCAATTTGATGGTAGCAAAATCTTCAAAAAGTTCACATGGTTATTTAGTTGGGCTTGTTTGATAGATAAGCCCAGTAGAGAAGAACTTGGTCTGACCTTGAGGATTTTGAGCTGATCCCAAACAAGCTTAAAGGTGTGGCTCAGATTGGTGCAGTTTTTCCTCTTGAAAACTAGTAGAGCCTGAATTAGTTTTTTGAGCACTGCATCCTCTCTCGTCTGTCTGTATGATGAATATTGATGATAACTCAGTTTGCTAAGCAGAATTTTGAACAAAATTGTACTTGTATTCCAGGCTTTGAAAGCTGTAGGCCAGATTTGGCTGCTATCAAACTTTGATTCGCAGGAGGATATTGCCTACCCAAATGACCCTAGGATGGTCATTAAGGTGGATGATGACCTTAAACAGCTTTTTCGAGGGATTGAGTTGCCTCGTGATATGCTTGACATTGAGAAGGATCTACAAAAGAATGGGATGAAACCTGCGACCAATACTGCGAAGAGGAGGGCTGCAGCTCAGGTGCAGGGCATTTCCACTAAGCAAAAGGCCAAGAAGAAGAAGCATGAGATCAGCAAGAGAACTAAGCTCACCAATGCACATCTTCCAGAACTTTTTAAAAACCTTGGTTCTTGATTCTTTGGGGGCTAGAATGTTCTGTTGTTGAATCTCTCTGAGATGATCATTTATAGCTGAGGTGCAATATACTCTTATGCAAAGTTGCCGGATGCCTTTGTGCTCTGGAGTTCATATCAGTGTGTCCTGCCCGTCAGAATTTTATGTACTTTCATCATCTAAATACCAGTTGTTTGGCCTGATATTTTGATTCCGTTGTGATGTTGCCCATAAAACAGTGTTGCGTTGTTCACGTTGGACACAACACCCATTTATTTAGTGGAGGATAATTTGCAAGGTTCCTTATTCTGGTATCTTTCCTTTCTTGTTTGGACAAGTGCTCTGAAATCTAAATCCTCAAGATTTCTTTTTTTTTTTTCTTTTTTTCTTGGTGAAATATTCGTAAAGAGGTCGACATGGATATCATGATTAGAGTAACAAATTGGGCCTCAATGGACCATTGACGTGTTGAGTTTAGGTGATGTGCTTTAGCTCCTGGCCCTTCTTGTGCCAGGGCCTTAGAAAAAAGGCTTGTGATTGGCAACCTCTAGATGGTGCTTCATAGTCCATAGTCGCCTACTTGCCTCAGTGCCAGGCCCTTCGTTTCGTAACCCACCATGGACCTATGGTGGGTCTGTGTGCCAACGAAATTTCTCTCTTTAAACTTGGACCGTATAAGCCGTGTTTAAGCTGAAAAACAAGTTCACCAACCAAGCATTTTGCAGATGTTCCCAGGCGTGCTATTTGGCTATTTAAAACAAGCTTGAATTCTATATGTGAGTTATAGATTATAGCATTTCATCGGAAATGACTTAAATTGTAATCAAGCTTTGTCAGATTCGTCCTTGCCGTTTACAAGCACAAGTACATTATATGTTTTGCTTAAACACCCACAAAAAAAGAAAAAAAGAAAAGAAAAGCTCTTTCTTGCTTAAGCAAAAGAATGAATCATATTGTATTTGGCATCTCTTCTACAAAATCCTTTCGTAAGAAAGCAGAAGCAACTTTTCTTGATGATCAACGCGATCTCATAAATCTATTCTCGGAGATATATTAATGGCCGGGAAAAGTGGTGTACCATACGTTAGGATATATCCTTCTCTTATTTTCAGGGAAATATGCAAGTGGTTCGATCATTCTGATCTGTCTCCATGGTGGTTTCGCTTCTGCATGCGTTGCTCGCCTACTTGCCAACGCTAACTTTTGGTCTCATGCTACCTATTATCTATTCTTATATAAAGTAGAGAAATAAATTCCACAGATGGTAGTTTGCATATGCGGCAAAATCCTTCATTTTTAATAATGGAAGATACATCTCGGAATCCTTATAATGGAAGGTTGACTTCTTGAGCATAAAACATTTGGCATGCGCACACAGATGAACCCTAAATATTGCTTTGTTATTCTTTGCTCTCTTTTATTCATGTATGGAAAGATTTCCCCACTCTCGAGGCTGTAATAGCAATAAAGTAATAGTGAATCCAAAATCAGTTGGCCAATTGTTTTTTTATATTAGCTGCCATTTTTGGTTTGACTTCTTCTGTAAACCAGCACAGGATCTTGCAGGTATTCACACATTAGTCGGTGACCACAGCCAACTTACTAGACCGTTTCTTGTACTTTATCTATAGTTTATAGGCATTCACTCCCCATTTCACAATTATTATTTTTTTACCTTTCTCATCTCCTAAAATTTTGCTGTAGCTTGATACTGGTAGATGTTGAAGAACACGAAAGAAAGCAGAGAAATTAACATGAAACTACCAGAAGATTTCTTCATGTACGAAATACTTCATCATTATTTCTACAATTCAATCAAGTAAAATCACAACTGCATAGAAAAACACTTGTGTCAAGATTTTCAATCCTTTTCATCTGTATTCAATTATACATATTTGAAGCAAATAGATTAAAAAAGAAGCAAAGATGAGCAATATAAACTGAATACAAAAATAAGACTAATTAACTAACCACAAGACTCTAATCAGTTGTGAAGTGGGTTTGGCCCACCTGGAACTGTTCTATAAGAAGCTCCATAAACTGGGTCATCGATCTCATCTTTGTTGGATCCTTCGGGAGCTTTTGCAGTGAAATGCCATGAAAACTGAGTAGAGACACCTGTTTCGACTGTTTGGTTTGTTTGATCTCCCATATTTATGTGGAGGTTGCGGCAACTTGAGAGCTGGCTAGTAGCAAGGATGATCATCAAGAAAAGAAATGAGAGTCTTGGATTTGGAATCCTCATGGTTTTGATGAAGAGAATGCAGCAGAAGAGGTGATATATAGCAGAAAATTAGCCGCAGCCAGTTGAAATATTGGAGCTTATGTACTAAATAGCCAGAGAGGGAGGGAGAGGTGTGTAGTCTTATGGGATCAAGCGCCTGTGGTGAAGATACAGCCAAAACCCTCTACTAATCTTCTTTCGATTGGCATGAATGCCCTTTACTAGGTAATGCTTTAAATGCCACATCACTGGAAGAACAACTACTACTAATTAAATTCAATAGAATTTTTATTTTTATATTAGGATCTAATCTACATGCACATATCTATTCCACAACTTGTCTCATTGCTCGGTGTATTGGTGAGTATAGTTTTTTTTTTTATATATAAAAAATCATATAATCTTAAATTAATTTTATTTATCAAAATCAAAATATCTATATATTATCGATAACGTTCTTTATTTTCTCAAGATAAATATAAAGAGAGTAAAGACAGATAAAATATTTTTATACTTTCTATTTTAAAATTATTCAAATTCATTCTAAAACTATTTTAAAAACAAATTTATGTTCCATCTTAACCATAACATCTTCATCCTTTCTATATTTTTTTTTTTTTGGAACACTGACCACTTACAAGCACTAATTACAACATATAAACTATGCAATCTTTTAAATTAAACCCTTTTTGTTCATAGTCATTGCGAATACCTCTAGAATGGTAAGCTGTTTACTCTTTGAAGTCATTCAAATTGTACATATATAGCAACGTTTTTTCATTACAGCCTCAGGTTACATGAAGTAGGAAATTATAGAGGCTAGCTTGGTCCTTCGAAACCCTTTTGAGGGCTTCTTTGAATCACTGTTCTGGTGAAGAACGTTGACTTTACATGAGTGGGATCTCTCTTATTATTTTCATGTTCTGAGAATTAAGCTAAGCTTTAGCCGTGCCTGCAATTCATTATTGGTGAAGACTTGAGGTAGGTTAGAGACACGTGCGCGTGCCACATGACTACCGTGACAAGTGGCTCACACGTTCTCTGTACTCCGGTGCCTAGCTTCATCACATGTTCTTGCTTCTGAGTTATTGATAATTCGACATTAAAAGATGCCTACTACATAATTAGGATTTTCCGGCAGGTTTATTGCAACTTGTTAAATATCTGGTAGGCGCACTCAAACATTGGGATCCTGTGGTTTTTCCTTTTCCTTTCTCCCTCCGCCGAGGCATTTGTTGGGCAGCTCCAATATGGGAAGTATATATTCTGGATTTTACCAAAAAGTTTAATGCACTTCTCTTGCGACAACACCGATTGATTTTGCCTTAAGGGCACCTTTTGTTTTCTCTTAGAGAAACCTCAATGTATATTATGTTGTTGTTGCTTTAGCACTGCTATCCCATCTCTTAATATTAATTTCAAACATTGAGCTTTTTAAAATTATATCAATTATTGATATAATGAATCTAATTAGCTCTTCCTACCAAGTGATTTATTTTGAAATATATACCAAAGACTGCTTCAGTGACGATAAGCAAATGACAAGCTCGTGTAGACAAAAAACAATGATGAGATGAGCGGAGCTTTTGGTTATGTCTGGAGGCAGAAAATGATGATATATAGCCAGCTAGTCAACAGTGCCAAGAGGAGCATGACATATTTGGCGTTGATTCATGGGAAACATGGTTTCCATTAAAAAGAGGTAAAACGATCTCAATTTGGCTTTAATTGGAAATTGAGGGGTTAATTAGTTTGATTCAGAGAAAGGGATCTGATTTGACTAAAAGTATAAAATAAAGGGATCATCACTTGAGAGAGAGAGAGCCTTTTTTGCTCGGGGAGTACAAATATTTATGCCCAAAAGTCAAAGGCCACATCAGCTGACAGGATTTCCTCGTTATAATTTCAGTTGTTTACGAGGCACGAAGGAGAGACGGATTTTCCTATTAGATGATTTTTTTAAAAAAGGCTGTATGATTTTTGGCCACGAAATAATTAAAAATATGACTGAAGAAAAGGGGGTTTGAAATTGGCGAGGATGACGTGCGGTGGTGAAAAACAGGATGTCCTTTCCCTGGAATTCGTAGCACCAGGGGCAATTACATGTCACTGACGAAACAAAATTTCAGGCGAGAATTTTAGGGGGTTTTAGAAAGTTTCGAGATTTATTATAGAATTCCCGTTTTTGCTACCCATGAAATTAACAATGAATTTTAAAAACTAATAAATATTTAATTTTTTTGGTAATTTTATTAGTAAAAAAATAAATTAAAAAATAAAAATTCTAGTTTCAGAAGAAAAACCCCTTTTCACTTACTTAGTCTGCTATTTAATGAAATTATGTTAAGAATTTCAATTACTGTTTTTTCCACTCATAATATGAGACAGGGACAGAAAAGTCAACGACCATAAAAAAGAAGAAGAAGAGAAGTGTGTACGTGTTTGTTTATTACTTGAGATGAAATAACATGGTTGGGAACTCTATGATGCTGACGGAGAAAGTTTACCTTGTAATAATTAGAGAGAAATATTGCTGGAGATTAGTTGTTTAATGCGAAGTTCGATTATGTTTGGATGCTTTAAATCTGCTATTTTTATTATGAGCTTCATCCCTGTCTATTATCTGTGGATGCTATCATACACGTGTCTTCTTATTTTTTCCTTCATGGAATAATTGTAAAATATATTAGGATATTATGTTAATTGAATTTTTTTGAATGTTTTTTAAGTTAAATAGTAATCATAAATAAAATTAATTGATTTATAACTTTATTTATTGATATGTATTTGAAAATAATAAAATCTTGAATAATCTTGCATATAAAGAAGATGCTACTTATTTTTTTTAAAATAAAATATAATGATAATGTTATTATTTTTTTTTATTTTTGCTCATTTAATAAATAAAATATCATTAAAGAGTAATACGTATAAGAACACTACCAGTTCTTCTGGCAGAGCTTCTAATAACCATAAGTCATTAAATGTCGGTCATGACTAGATATATTAAGCACAACAATCCTCTTTTAATATAGACTCGTCGACTGAAAGACTAACTTGTAAAAGGAATGTCTTTTCTGCATATGATGT